TAGGCCAAAACCTCTTTAGGTCAAAGCAAATAAAGTAAAGAACATTGGGGCTATACCTTACCCAATGTAATACAATCAACTGATTAATCTAAAGGAAGTAATACCAAAAAAGTCAATATAATAGGCCCGTCTTACCATATATATAAGAGAATTTGTATAATAAAAAACATGAGCAGTAATAGTACAACTGTTAAAAAAATAGTACAACTGTACAAGGGGTCATGCAAAAGGAAGAAGCAATAGAAACTGTTTTCAAGGATCCTTGGGAGTCTCATCTTGCAGCCAACTTGCTTGCCACTGCTTGTCATAGAAAGTGGTCTCCTCCACCAGCTTCTTGAGCGTCTCTATGTCTCAGTCCAAAAGAAAACATCCTGAATATTGTTCTAAAAATTGACAATCAACATCTAGGTGCTAGACGGCCCTAACTGAAGAGGACATCGGACTAATCGGCCTAATCGATAAGAAAGTCGGCCTAGTTGCCTACTCACTGGGCACGACTGGCGTCTAGTGTGCTCAGAATGATGGATGTAATGTGAGTGATGAAAAACAATTTTGCACGGACAAGATTTATTGTCACTCACCCTCAAACAAATGAGGTACTCCATTCAACACATTTTGTTAGAGGTTTAGTTCTAACAAATTGTGAATGACATCAAAAGTTTACAATATATATAGATGTGATTCAATTTTTTTAATTTGACACTTTCTTTCAACTGCATTGAGTGTGGTTTTCATCTACTACAAAAAACCATGGCAATAGCTGCAAATCTGTAATGTTATACACTTTAAATCTGGCAAGGAACACAACGATTGGTACACAATTCATGTAATCTGGTTATTGGGTTGGCCAGTCAACCCTCATACATTTCCAAACTATACCAATTCGCATTGAGTGTGGTTTTCATCTACTACAAAAAAACCATGGCAATAGCTACAAATCTGTAATGTTATACACTTTAAATCTAGCAAGGAACACAACGATTGGTACACAGTTCGTGTAATCTGGTTATTGGGTTGGCCAGTCAACCCTCATACATTTCCAAACTATACCAATTCGGTTTGTGTAATCTGGTTATTGGCATGGCCAATCAACCCTTGTACATTTCCAAACCATACCAATTCAAACTCAAACAAATCACATCACCCATGCTAGAAAACCCACTTGGAGGCTAACATATGTGCGAATCAACATGCTAGAAAATCAACTTGGAGTCTAACATATGTGCGAGTCAACGTGCTAGAAACACCATAAGGCTTAAGGAAGCTAAGCTATCTGATGGAACCCTCCTTAACCGAACTCCGAGGTGAAAACTTCATTGATGAGTTATTTATCAAACCTTCTGTGGATGAAAATTATGAAAAAAATTTATTACGGAGTATAAGGTTATGAACATTCACTACTACATTTTCGAGTCTAATGTAACATTAAAATTGTATCGCTTATTAAAACTGTAACCTAAAAGAAGTCTATTATAACAGTATTGAATGTATTGTTACATTAGCTCACAAATTGTTACATTAAGTGTATTCATAATGTAACACTTTTATTATGACATATATAATGTTACATTCATTTAATAACTGTTACTTATAGCAAAATATAATCAACGGTCTCGTTAATCAAAAGTGGAAGAATTAAGAAGGGCCTAGTATTAATTTGTGTCATACTCTCGCTTTTCCGCCCAAAGAAAACCCCCCGCGGGCCAAATGAAATTATTGCTCCGTATTAAACAAAACCTAAATCCCTAGGTAATGAACTTAGGGGGTGTATTGTATTAAGAATTAGTGGCAAAATTTTAAAAGTGCATGGATTTTAAGAGTGTAGGTGTATTCAATGTGGACTATTAAAAGTCCACAAAAGCCTAGGTGTATTCAATGCAGACTTTTAAAAGTCTATAAAAGTCTAGGCGTATTCAAATTTCCGTACATTCTTATTGACTTCTAAAATCATGGATTCTCGTGGACTTTTAACTCATTTTTAGTGCAAAAATTCTCTGCAATTGTCTCTTCTCCTCACCAAAGATTTCTGTGGGCTTTTCTTATAACGGTTCTTCATCCCGTCTCACCCCATCCCTCCCCTCCCTCGTAGGGATGGACCGGGCCCGGCCCGGTTTCAGTTCCGAGTCGGGCCTAGCCGGGCTTGGAATTTTTTGGGTAAGGCCCGGGACCGGCCCAGAGTCTACCGGTACCGAGTCGGGCCGGGCTAGTTCCGAACCTGACCGGTTCATTTTTTTTGTTTTTCTTATATATTCCAACCCCACCCCCAAACCCCTCAAAAACACCCAGCCCAGCCTACCTACCATAGGCCCAAACAAAAAAAACAAAAAAACAAAAAACAAAATTAAGGCCAGGACCGGGCCCACACCGCCCGGGCCGGTCCTCAAATATGCATTCCCGGAACCGCCCCAATTACCCCCCCGGGTCGGGCCTAGGCCCGGTACTGATATCCATCCATCGGGCCGGGCCGGTCCCGCACAGTGGCGGGCCGTTCAGGTCAAGCCTACTCCCCCCCCCAACTCTACCATTCTTTAGCCAAGCCACCCCTTCCCATTCGATCTTTCTTCTTTTTTTTCTTCTTCTTCAACCCAGCTCGCCCCCCCCCCCCCCTCTCCTTCCGTTCTTCTTCTTCTTCTTCTTCTTCTTCTTCTTCTTCAGCTTGCCGGCCCCACCCTACCCCCCTCGATTCATTAATCCCATATCGATTCGATTCTAGAAGTTTTTAGAAGAACCGATATAAGAATTGATAGTACTACATCAATGCAATTATGATACGTCGTCATTATTATTTTAATTATCACTTTCTTTCATTATTAAATCGTTTAACACATAAAAATATAATTTTAAATAAATAAATATATAACCATAAATACATATACAAGTTCTTACAAGATAGAAATTAAAAGAAAACAATCATTAAGTAGAAAAGTTCAATTGCATCTATGCTTGTACCGCATGTAGCAATGAGTGTAACGCTTGTGTAACGATTAATGTTCTTAATCATTAATAAAATGGCCAAAATTCTCAAGCATTCTTGAAACTTTGAGTTTTTTTAATAAAAATAAATTTGAATTCTTATGCTTCGTTTATTTTTGTAGAACTTTGTGTTGATATATGAATTACATTTATTTATTTATTTATTTATTTATTTATTTATTTTTTTATTTATTTATTTATTTATTTATTTATTTATTTATTTATTTATTTATTTATTTATTTATTTATTTATTTATTTATTTATTTATTTATTTATTTATTTATTTATTTATTTATTTATTTATTTATTTATTTATTTATTTATTTATTTATTTATTTATTTATTTATTTATTTATTTATTTATTTATTTATTTATTTATTTATTTATTTATTTATTTATTTATTTATTTATTTATTTATTTATTTATTTATTTATTTATTTATCATACTCCGTATTATATATGGGAAATCACTCACGGTAGGACTAAAACATAGCATTATTCTTAAAGTATGATTATATGTTTGATTTTTCTTAAACAGGAATAAATATTACATATTCACCCCTAATTTAATTAATTAATATAATTAATTGTCCCTAATTCCCTTTCATAACTAAATCCATTTTGTTGGTGACGGGTCAGTCCGATGACGACAGCGGGGAACTCCGGTAATGGAAGCGGACGGGTCAAAGGTATATCGGTTGCGACAACCAGTGGCGGATCCAGAAATAAAGTTAATTGGGGGCATACTTACCTAAACTTGAAAGGCCGTTTGGCAACACTGTTTTTCAGCTTATTAAGCTTATCAATCAACTTTTTCACCAAACACGTAATTTTTGCTTTCGAGCGTTGAATTGTGTAATAAGCAGAAAAAGTAAGGTTGGAGTTACTTTTCTGGCTGTATTGGTTGAAGTTACTGTAGATGATCATTTTAACTATTTTTACATAATATTTTTCTTTATTTTATTAATGAAATAGTACTACGTATATTTTTAAAATAATTTTCTCTTAAATCAGCAGAATCAGCCAATGCAGCCACTTCAGCCAGAACTTCATAAGTTTCAGCGGAATCAGCCAAATCAGTCGATTTTTTTTGCTACCAAGCAGGCTCTAAAATAATACTCCGTGATTTCCCCCATATTTTGTACGGAGTAATAGATTCAATCTTAGACATTGTTGTCACATTTAATTTAATTTATACGTTGTACCTTTTGTTTAGATGATCTAGCAAAACGTCGTCAGCTCATTATTAATTATCATTACCAAGTTATTTACATATTAAATGACTTTATTCTACTCAGTATCTTTCGTGAAATGTCTATAATACTCCGTACAAAATTTATGGAGAAGTGTGTAGCTAAGAGGAGTATAGTGTTGTAACTAGGAGATTAGATACATTGTTTTGGGCTGGTAAAAAAAATTTCATATAAAATTTTCACAATTCCTTGCACATAAAATTAGTGTTTTTACCGGATGCGGAGTAGGCCCTAATATGCCTCCCCTTAATTAGCTACGCCGTTGTATGAGAGTACGTCCATAACTAAACTTTCATTTGTAAATTTAGATTGAGGTCTTTAGGTCTAATTTATCTCCATAAAGTATCTCATTATCCAGACAGATTAATTAGTATCATTTCCCATAAACATAATATAGATTAATCACATGTATAACTTATCTTTTAACAATGGGGCAAATAATAAAATTATTGGGGGCATATAATAAAAATTATTGGGGGCAAATTCCTTCTATTTGAAATAAATTACATAAACTCATATATATTCATTCTACTGGATGAAAAGTTGTTGGGGGCATGTGCCCCCACTACTAATAAGGTAGATCCGCCCCTGGCGACAACCTAGGTGAAAATTTTGACGACCAGCAGTGGCAGTCCGCATTTAAAAGTCTATGAACTTTTTGAGAGTCAATAAACTTATCCATGAATTTAAAAATCCATAGAATTCATTCATAAAAAAGTCCATAGATTTAAAAGTCCATTAAAAGTGCATTTGCTTTTTTAAAAGTCCATTAAAAAAGGTCTATAGTTCTTCTGCCTGAGCTCAGTTCACGATCTTCACCTGTAGGAGAAGTACTTCTCCATCGCTTTCCTCTCCGTCTGTGCGCACATCTGACTCTCTCGCTCTGGCCAGACAGGTTCTCGTCTTCTCCCAATCTTCTTTACTTCTTAAACCCCAATTCCTCTTCTCTAAGATATGAATAATGAAGTTTACAAGTGTAGATTTCTAATTTTTGTTAGTAATGCATAGAATCTGTTTGTTGAAATGTATGAGGACAATATGTATATCTCCAGCCACCTCCTTGTCCTCATTTACTTTTCTTTCTCTATGTGTTGGACTGCTGGCTAATGGGTTATATTTGATTATATGGTTGGTCTTGATTTAATATAACACTCTTGAATTATATATTTTTGAATTTCTTATGTGCATGTATGATGCATAGAAGCTATTTGATAAAATGCTCAAGTTATTCTTGATAATATTTGTATTCATTTGCCTTATGGGGGAGAAGTATTTGTAGTCTATACTTGATGGTGAAATTTTTACCAATCCAAAGGAAAGAGAAAATTAAAAACAGGGCTAACTTGAAATATGCCAACATTGAGGTAAAGAAAGAACTTTCTTCCTAATCTGACAGCTGCAATGTCTTCAATTTGTAATTTATTAATCTCAATGTGACCGTCTATCTAATATTTGGTTTGATTAACTTCTCCAAGTGTTAGTGGGTTTAGCAAGACTAAACTACGTTTCATTTGTCCAAAGGAAAAATTCACATTAATAATCCAACCTTTTCAAGTTCTTCTATAATTAATCCCAGCTACACGTTATTCCGGCATAATCTCAACTTCATTCGTGGTCTTCCGTCATTGATCCAGGTCACCTACAACCTTCTAAACTGGTAAAAAACAAAAAAAAAACATCTGTATCCACTCCTTTCATCCCCATTAGTCCTCACCCTCATACTTCGTATATGGAGAAGACATCGAGAATTTGTTCATCATCCTCTACAAATTCATCTTTGACCGCAATAGTATTTCAATCACACGGAAAGGAAAGTGTTGGCTGCAGTTTTATCTCCTTGAATCAATTTCAATAGCCGGCTAAGAGAAAGGTGACGACGTAAGAGATGGTGGGCTGCGGGGATCTTTGCTGCTTGAAGTCATCTCTCTCGTCAAAGATGGAACAAAGAAATATACTGCTTCTGGTGGGCATGTGATTTTGCTTCTAATGGAACGGTCAATGGAGTTCTTGAGGTCGATCCTCGCCGGAGTAGTATTCCACCGGACTCCGACGGTTCATCTTAGTGCTGTTGCCGGTTTATTCGTCCGTTCGTCCCTTTAACTAGATGACTGGATTTCTAGAGGTGTAAAAGAAATTAAGAAGAACGGGTGGAAGAGGGAATGAATAAAAGAGAAGAAGAATAAAAGAGAAAGGGAATGAAGAGAAAACAGGTCTCTGCGGATGAGGTGAAGTAAAGAAAGAGAAAGGAAAAAATGGAAAAGAAAAATGTGTGGTGTCCAATCAGATTAAAACACGTATAGGGGTGACCTGATAAAAAAATTTATTCCGGTCAAGGGCTTAGTTTGAGAAGATGGCATGTATAGATTAGATTATTTTAGAAAAACTCATATTTGGGATTAATAATGGAAGAACAAAAAAAGGTGGGATTATTCATGTGAATTTTTCCTTGTCAGAATAGAAAGGTTACCATTTTATTTCACCCAAACAGTAATTTCCAAATTTCCTGTATCAGTTCATTGACCTTCATACAGGCCAAGGACTTTACTTTGCGCTCTAGTTGCATTTTACTTCAGTGTCTCACGTATTCGTTCATTCCAAATTTTGCTAATTTTAATAAGCACATTAGTATTTAGCTTTAACTAGTCAAGATACATTTTACAAATTTAGCTTTAACTAGTCAAGATACATTTTGCAAATTTAGCTTTACACTCTTGGATCCTAGGTTTTATAATGTTACATGTTATAAATTTTAGAAATTAATCAATAACTAAATTGAAATATTTAATTGAAAATATCTTAAAACAGACTAATATACCACTTAGTACTGGTTACTCCTTTACTACTTCAATGGTTGAGACCATGGTTCTAAAAATCGCTCTAGGCGCCCGACTAGTCCCCGCCTATGCGCTAGGCGGTAGTCGGCCGCCCCGATTTTAGTCTAGGCGCTCCGACTAATTGATTTGGCGCTTAGGTGAATTAGTCGGCCGCCTAAGGCGCCTAATTACCCGCCTAGAGCGCTTAATCGGCCGCCTAGGCATCTAGATTCATCAAAAAAATTATTTTGCGTTTTATTTTAGTATTCTAAGAGATATATGTATCTTTAACTCTAACAACGCATATGAAGAAAGCTATTAGTTGTAGATTAAAGTAAATACTATACATGTTTATATATAATTATATATATATATATATATATATATATATATATATTCTGAAGTGTTATTATTATTTATTAATAATTATTACGTAGTATTACTTGAAGTTAAGAAGTAAGTATGTATAATATGTTATTAAATGTGAAAACTCTTATCATTCATGCATGTTAATGTGTGTACGTGTGTGTCTATATTTATATTTATATATATATATATATATATATATATATATATACACACACACACACACACACACACAACATTATTAATCATATTTATGCAAAAATGTAAATAAAACTGTAATTTCTATGTCTCCGATTAATCCCCGCCTAGGCGCCCGCCTAGGCGCTAGGCGCTGTGCAGCCTGTGCTGGCGCCCGACTAGCGCCTAGCGCCTTTTAGAACATTGGTTGAGACTTTAGAGATATACTTCTTTTAAATGAAAATTTTGAAGATTAATTTGCTTCATTGAAATAGAGATTAGTTTATAGAGAAGTTGAGCATGAGTAGTTGATCTAGCTTTTTTGGTTAATCCGTTAATGTAGCTTACATTCTGTTTGATTCCAATGTATGTGTTCTTTGATTGATAATTCTAATACTGTTACACCCTCACTTTTAACTATATTTTGATCCTGATAAAATGGGACAACTGATGGAACTCAACTCTAAAACAATTAGAAACCTTGTTTTTCATCAATAATGTTATTTCTTTATTGAAAAATGGTTCAAAGGTTGTTAGCTTTCTATAGTTGGTAGAAAAAATGTTAGGAGTAACTAGTTTCAGGGTATTCTTATGTGGTTTTTATTTTGGAAAGTTCTGGATGATAATGCTGCTCATATTAAGCGCCTAAAAAGCGAGACACATTTTTTTACTTGGGCAACTTTCAGTTTTCATTTGAGAGGTAAGTTATCTAGCTTTTTGGTTGATGAATTCTGCGTTTATTGTACTTGTAGTCTCTTTTGTAACTCTGACAAATGGTTATTGTTGCTCCGCCACTCCTTTAATGGTTTTCGCTACTCTGTCGCGTCGATACAGGTTTTCCATGCTCCGCCTCTCCTCTATAGGTTTTCGCATCTCCTCCGTCAGCATTTCCCGCTGCCTATGTTGCATAATAGATCATCACATTGTTGCTCTATCTCCATCGCCCATGATTCCATGACCTCGACTAAGACCTTCGTTCCATCTTACTCTATCTAGGTAAAATTGTGTCTCTTACAAACTGAATATTTAACTATTTTTATCATCACAGTTCGATTTATATATATTTTTCTCCAGGGTTTTTTATTTATCTTTAATTTGGGAAGGTAAATAATTTCTACTGTCTATTCACTGTTTGTAAAAAAGCCTCACCCAAATTTTCAAATGAATGTTTTAAATAGGTTGTTTAGTAACCTTTAATGTATTAAAGCAGGGACATTGTACATTATATTATTTCCCCTTCTTTTTGGTGATTGAATACTACTACTTTTCCTTTTTCAGGTAGAGACTTTATTTCACCTTGTAAAGGTACTTCAAAGTTTAAGTGTAAAGGTACTTCAAAGTTTGTTCACCGGGAACGTTTTGAAGGTTATTCTATCGATGACTCTTAAGTTGACCTGAAGTTCTGATTCCTTAATAGTTTAAGTGAGTTTCAAAGTTTGTTCACCGGGAACGTTTTGATTCATAATTTGACCTGAAGTTCCACAAGTTTGTGGTTCAGTTGGATTGAGATAGTAAATATGAGTTTCTGGTTGGCCAGCTCAAAAACTTGAAGAAATATTATTAGGAATTTAGGAGCAAATCTTATAGAAGAAAGTTAGAATCTTAACTAACATGACCACTTTAGTATTTGGTATCTGGTACCTTAGCTTAGTTTGTAAAACTGAGAACTATTAAAAACATAATGACTTGTATTTTTGTAGGAATTGTAACTTCTTAAATCTTAAATTAAAAAATAAAATAAATATGTTTCGTGGTATCTGATAGCTTAGCTTATAATTATAATCTTCTTGTAAAAGATTACCACTTTAGTATCTGGTATCTGGTAGCTTAGCTTGCAAAACACTTAGTACCTCCTATGTTCTGTTTATATGTTGTACTTTATCACTTTCCTTGGTTCATTTTAACTTGTTTGGTTGTATAATTCTTGTGCGGTACACAATACGGAGTACTTTTTAATTTCCCTTGAATTATATATCCAATTTGCCACGTCTCCGAATAGTATAATGGGTACATTAATCGGAGGGTGAGTATCAAATCAGAACTTTTTTGCTTCCAATTACAGCTAAAAGTGATTAAGTTTTTATTGATAAAACACACACACACCTATAACATATTTAGCTTGATAAAAGAAAATTAAGGCCCTGTTTACTAACAGAAATATTTTCCGTTTTTCCAAAAAACTGGAAAACTGGAGTTAGAAATATTAGAAAACCTGTTTACCTCATTGTTTTCCAAAACAAAAAAAATTGAAACGTATCTCGGTTTTTTGTTCTGAAACGGAGAAGCCAGTTATATGTGTTTTCCGAAAACCCAAAACACGGTGCTACAGTGCCCGAGTTTTCAATGTTCGCATACCCTCCTCTACCGTCTTTACTTCGCCAACTCCCTCCTCCCTCCTCCCAGAAAACAACGGTTCGCTGTCATTGCTCCTCCCAGAGTTCTCAAAATTGGTTTGCCGCCATCACCACTAGGAGCTCCACCTAGACATCACGGAATCTCCCAACTCTTCAGTTGGCTCTTGCTCTCTCAACGAGTTCAAGGTAACCTCTCAATTTCAAAAATTAATTTGTGTTAGAGAAATTCCATAAACCCCTTGTTTCAAAAGCTTCCAGCAATGATAAAGTCCTTGCATAAAGCCCTTGTTTCAGAAATTTCATAAGCTTTAAAAAGGCTTCAGTGAGCCCTCCATCAGTGCTTTAAAGAAAATTTGAAATAAAACCTAAGGGTAATTTGTTAAAACATGCTTCAGTAAATAGATGTTCAGCTATTTTGAATGAATGATAATACTAAATTCGTTTATCATCTGTTATTCTGTTAATGTTCTAAAATTATCCCTGTGTTTTATAATAGGTATGCCCCTGTGTTCTGGAATGCTCCTTATTCAATTTGATTTGGGTAAACTTTGAATATTAGTAAGCACAACAAATGGTGAAAATACCAGCACCTAGGTTTTGTTCTCCGTGTCTACCTATATGCTAGTTGCATCCAAATGTTGTTCTGAAGGTAATTAATTCAGGTCAGGGCTAAGTGGATGAGTTTGACAGTTTTCAAAAGTGTTTAGAGTATTCTTGTTCAATGTATATAAGTAGAGATTTTAATAGGGAAGGTTTTAAGTGAGAGTTCATTTTTTTTTTGTGCGTAGTAACTAGTAAATAATAATCTTTAGTCTGAAAAAACTTTGGTTTCATGAGCATATACTTGTCTTTCATTGTCGAGCAAAACTCAGTTCTCCTTGGTACATCAGTTGTAATAATAAGATATATCACTTCATATTTTGGTTTCATTTTAACTTCATGATTTCTTCTGCTAAAATCAGAGAAAACTTTTACTGCAAGACTCAGTTGAAGAGCAAATTACATTAAGCAATGCAGAACACTTGTTTTGGAAGCAATTTTTTTTGTCCTTAGTAGATTGGATTTCTTAGCAGCTAGTAGATTAGATTTTTTAGCAGTCTACCATATGCAGTTTTTAAAAAACAAGTCAAGCCCCTGTTTTGTTAACAAGATTTGCTTTTGGGATTATTGTACTCAACTTTTACGTCATTTAGTTCATTTTCGGCCAACAATAGTGAGCCCCAGGGGCTGTAAAAACTATCTTATTGTGACTTCAATTAGTTGTTGTTTACTAGGCTTTTGTACATGCTGCAAACTTGATTGATTGAGTCGTATATACTTGTTAGGATTGTAGAAAACTATATCCTACAGCCTTGTGTTTGGGGGTTCAAAGGATTTTTTTTTTTAATAAAACAACTTTGTTTTTTTGATAAATTTAGTTAAGTGGTTTATTCAGACTACTTTTATCTTATTAATAGCTACTTACTGGTGATTTGGATAAAAAATGGGTGGGCTTGAGGAGAAGAAGCATACGAAGATGGGGTAGGAAGATTATAAATCCTTTTTACCCATGTGATTTTGAGTAGAACAAACAGAGCTAAACATCTGTTCTTTTAATTATTATTTTAAAAAATGAGTAGAAGGAGATGAATTAGGAATATGATGATGCTATGGATAGTTACTTTTGTGTCCAATAAGCTGCCTTGTGAACAGATGTAACTTTTTTTAATACTACATTTTAATAGATTAAATAACCCTTTTTGCTTTGATTGTATTCGAAATTGTAGTAAGAGTAATACGGAGTAACTATTTTTTATGTAACTGAAATTGTATTTTATGCTAAATTTTTGTGTTATTTATTTCAAATGTTTGTAATTGTTGCTTTTTTCCCCAAATACTCAGCCAACATTTTCTGGTAAAAATGAAATGGAAACTTGAAAAACTCTGTTAAACATGTTTTCTAATTTGGAAAACAAAAAACTGGAAAACGAAAACAGAAAACTGGAGACTTGAAACCAGGCCCTAACATTTTGAGTGGATTTTGAGTGGGAAACCTAAATGATTCAGGAATTTGAGTATGAGCAATGGAGGTAAAGTGGAGAGTAGACAAGGTGGAGGGAATGCACTGGACAATCGGGCGAGTTCCCATGAATTTGGGAGTGCTATATCAAGAATTGCTGTGGCTCAGATATGCCAGAGTGTTGGGTTTGAGAGTTCCACTGAAGCGGCTATGAATTCCTTCTCAGAGGTTATAGCCAAGTACATTTCTGACCTGGGAAAGACTGCTACTTCCTATGCCAGTTTATCTGGGAGGTCCCAGTGTAACGTATTTGATGTGATTCACGGGTTAGAGGATTTCTGTCCACACACGGGGCTTATGGGTGCTTCAGAAGCAAACATTTGTGGGGTGAATTCAGGTGTTATGAAGGAGATAGTTGAGTATGTTGAGGCTTCTGAAGAGATTCCTTTTGCTCAGCCAGTCTCGCGTTTTCCAGTGATAAAAATCCCAAAGATGATTCCTACTTTTGATCAAATAGGTGAAAATCCGGAGTCTAAGCACATCCCGCGTTGGTTGCCCGCATTCCCCGATCCTCACACCTATGTACACACAGATACATGGAACGAGAGGGTATCCGATCCCCGAGATGACAAAATTGAATTAGCCAGGCAACGCAGGAAGGCAGAGAGGTCTTTGTTGAATTTGCAGCAGCGGTTGGTATGCAATGGTTTGCCAGTGCCATCAAGTTCACATAAGCTAAGGGTATGTATGGATCCCGAGAACTGCTAGGGAGAAGTCATGTTTATATTTAGATCATCATCGTCATCATTACCCAGTGTCGAAAAGGCTCCCACATACAATGGGGTAAAGGGGGTTGGATGTATGTAGCCTTGTCCAAGACTGTTTCCAAATGACCCATGGTGAAAATCACGTCAAAAATGACTATTATTTCATAATAAAGAAGCAAAGACAGTTTAGTGGGCCAATTTTCATCATATTCCCAAGCCAAAAAACAGTGAAACTTTGGGTCTATTGCAAATCATGGACATACATGTTTATATTTTGATAGCAGATATAAAATAAATTCATAAAATGAGGATCAACAAAGATCTTAAATATTACTGTTGCGCTTTAACCTATATTTATTTCCTTCCACGTTTGCTTCCTTTCTAATATTTGTTTCCTTTTTCTTTCCCTAGCAAATTCCGGGTTCAAAATTGACTCTAAATGACGAGGAGAGTGAGAACCCATTCCTTGCTAGGACATTGCAAGCTGGAGATAAAGATGCATCTTCTATAGCTCTTCCGGCCAAATTCTTTGCCAACGATCACCACACCTCTTTACTACAGACTTTTTCTCCTGCAATCGAGGCCATTAAAGACAGCATTTCTGAGATGGGAAATGGGACAGAGAAAAAACATGTTACCTACAAAAGGCTACCTGCTTTGTGTTTGGAGTTAAAACCTGGCAAGAAGGTTTTAGGTGATTCATTGGATGTGAGACTTTGGAACAATGGTAGTTCTGGAAGAGGAGCATCATGGTTCAGGAAAGATGATGATAATAAAGATGATAAAAAGAGGAGAGCTGAATTGATTCTTCGGCAATCAATTGAAAACCAGCAGGAACTGATGCAGTTGTAAATTAGATTGGTGAAATTATTTGTGGTCACAAAAGTGTAGGGTTGGTTGATGATAATCATGAAAATAGCACTGTATCTATATTTCAGGAGCGTGCAGAAGAAGCCAGATCATAGTTCCAGGCATTTTTTCAGGAGCTTAATTGCTTTCTATTGATGATATGTTTTCTACAACTGAAACAATCAAAATCTAGTTCTTGGTGAGATTCTTGTTTGTAGAAGCCATACTTTTCCAAGTTGAATTGAAGAGTATTGTACAATTCGGTTTTCAATATTTTTCAGTAAGGAGTTTGTTTTTAACGAGAATCTGAAGGGTGGCAAAGCAGGAATTGCTTGTGTACATCTCTTCTTCTGGCGTTTTACATTGCTCTCCAATTTGTTGCTTTAGTGTGTGTACATTTATAACTTAAAGTTGTAGTTTCCATTTGTTAATATGTTTCTTCATGATCAACATGAAGAATCAGAACTAGAGCTTTTACATGAAACCGAACAAGCTGCTTTTGAGCTCAACTTGGCTCAGCTCTCTAAGCCTTACGAGCTTGACACATTCACTTCACAAAATAAGATGAGCATGGCCTGAAGGCTCGAGCGTGAAACGAGTCAGATTCAATTGCCAATATGTGCTTGAAACCTTACAAGTTGAGTTTGACTCTGACTCAAGTTAAGGACACTAAGGTGGTGGGGTGGCTTTCAGAGAATGAAGCTCATTATGGAATCGCAAGTACAATTGGAAAAACTCAAACGTCCTAAGCTCAACTCACATGCTGGTTAGTGAGCGCTCTTCATCTGTTCAGGTTTCTCCCTGGAATTTCTGTTTCTTCCATTCTCGTGTTATTATATTAGAAATTTAGAATGTGAATGAAGATAGGTTTGTCAAGCGGAATCCTTAGCATCTTCGTGTTTCGTATTCAAGCACACTAGATGGTAGCTATTTGCATGCTATTTTAAGAAATCATCAGATGTATATCTAGTTTAGTAATGCCCAAGTTACTCTATCTTATTTTTGATAATTTGATTTCGTTTCTTTAAGTTGGAGGCTTTTTTCTTCTTTCCGTAGGGGGAAGGAAAATGTGAATATCTGTCAATATAGCTCATTAGTCAAATAAAGCTATTAAAACATTTATTATTGCTTATGAGCTAGATGATCGTTATGGTTTATGAGCAAATAGAATTGAAGGAGATGGCGGTTTTCAGAGCTCTGGAGTATACAATCCAATACTCTCATTACATATCAGAATACTATAATGCTCCAGCACTCCTATGATATATTCTAGCTAGAGTAGAAATTGAGATGCTCTCTGTTTCCAGAATGTCAGTTGTTTATTTTTGTTTCGGTTACAGTTATGAGATCAACATTACATATTCTGGATTTCTGGTTCATGGCTCTCCAAGGGTCCTTTTGGATCTTTGGAAATGCTAGGCAAAGAAAATAGAGGTCAAATTATAAGGAAAATTTTGGAAGGAAAGTAATATGAGGGAAAATGAAACTTGAATCAAACACAATAAATTTGGTGTTGATATTTGTCCAAACTCTTTTTATTTATGTATTTCTATTATATAAAGACTAATCATTAATCAACCAAACATATGAATTATTTAAATAAAACAATAGTCATATGCTGTTTTCCTTTGCATTTCCCATAGTTGTCGTGGCGTTGGCAACAGTCATGGCGCCAAGGCATTTGTCCATGACGTTTGGCGCATTTATGGCTGTCACCACATGACACAAAAATAAGTACTACAATTATGAACTATAGACACTATAGAGCTGTAATTTAACCACCAAAAAAAAGAGCAAAAGAGTTGAATAGCCACATTCTAAACAAAATATGTGAAGTTAGAACAGTTTATAGTTCCAAAAATAACTTAATATCCAAAATTACCACATTCGGCATACATCCAACCCCCCCTACCCCACCGTTGGGCACTGGGGCAATGTTGTTAGTATCCAAAAATTGCCACATTTTGCGGTTAACTTTTTTATACAATGGTACTTGAAGGACAAGTAGATACAAAATGTTTTGAAGTATGTTTTAAAGTTTATTTTAATGTCTGATTTGAAGTTTATCATCTATAAAGATGTTATACTTTTGTTCTTGCGCAGCTTCTATAGAGTCTACATCTGGCATTAAATTAGCTGGGAAGGGCTGACTGCTTAATTATTAATTAGGAATAATGCCCAAAACTAATTAAATGAACATGTTACATCTGCTCCCAAAAAATGGCACACATGGAATGGTGATTGCTCCCATATGGCGTTGCCACATGTACTCTCATCGGCAGGACTCTTTGTGGCAAGGGCTCTTCATATTGCCATATGGCATTTTCCATTGTAAAACCAATCACATTAAGTGCATTTATTAATATCTCTAATAAGCAAATGCACAACATTTCCTGACCGTCTACATTCAAACAATGGCTGGTGGAAAACTGGGAGTGGTTTGAATGAAATGAACCTCAATGGCTCAATCAGAAACCTGAGGGATAGTCAAAATATTAGGTCTTACCGTATAATATGGTATAGCTTGATCTATTGGCACTTTCGCTTATACTTTGTATGTTTTTCAAGTGGATTAGTGGAGTTTAGTAGCGATGTTGAAGGACATGTCTCCTGCTTCGTCTTGGACATTGTAACACTGTAAACTAGATTCGATAAATAAATCGCATGGAAACAGATAAGAAGATGTCATTTTTAATATGGGCGAAAAACTCAATGGTCACGTGATGTTTGCGTCATAAAGATGGCTCTACTACAATTGTCATTATTTTTTGCTGAGCTCTGTTTAGACTATTTAGTCAATTAAAGTATTAATTAATGGCTTCCAATTTTTTCTTGAACAGATAATTACTTATAGATGGTGTTGATAGCTCATTTCAAACTGGTCTAACACAAAAGTGGGGTTCTGCACATAGCAGTTTCAACTTTCAGGCTTGTTTTCCGTTTTCACCCCCAGGCAGTTTTAGATTATGTAGTTTTACTTGATAAATTAGGCTATAGAAATAGGTATCTCCTGTCCCTCAGGGGTTTCATTCTCTATATTTTGTATGATGATAACCTAGCATGTGCATATGACAGAAGCTTTTTGTAGGAAATAATGTCGTAGATATAACTCTCGGAGTTACGGTGGACAAGCATATGACCATAATTAGGTTTGGACCAAAAAGCTATTAAAAAAGAATGCATAGACGGAAATGCCCTGCAACCGTAATTTATGGCTCTATCACTTCTCTTACGCCACATTGCAGCAGACCTCGGTTTCTTCTTCAACAAGCCGCAGCCACCGCACGCCGTCACCTTCTCCACGCCGCCGCCGCCGCCCATCGTTGCCGTCTCCGATCCGCGCTGACATCACAGATCTGCCAATCTCTTATTTTCTTCTCTTCGTTCTTCTTCTTCTTCTCCGAAGGATCTCCAAACCTGCAATCGCGGCAACCTATCGATGGCGGCGGCGTGGAGATGGTGGAGACCTGACAGTTGCGAGCGAGGACTACACCAAAGGAGATTGTCAATTTACGGCGGCAATAGGCATCGTTGGGGGTAACATTATCGTCAGGTAGTCAAACACGATGGGAGACCGCGACTCCGTCTCGTCGCTCTGCCGCCGTCGTTGTAGGGTAGCGCAGAGATGTGCGAGGGATGTGACAGCGTGTGGGGTGGGTCCGCGGTGGTTCAGGGGCTAGGAAGGGGTGGATCTGTTCTGAACTGTTGGGAGCTGGGGAGGGGGCGGCTAGCAGCCGCAGTGGTTAATTTTCCAGATCCAGTTGGGGCAGGCCATGGTTGGGCGGTGGTGGTACGGTGGATGGCCGGTCACAGGGGCAGGGGCAGAGTTGAGGCAGTCACATAGGTTCTGCAGGGACCATGGTGCGGGATGGGAGGCAGTGGTAACTAGCCGGAGTTATTGCGCCGGAGTCGCGATGTGTCACTGAGGTCTAAGTCACTGGCCGGAGTCACTGTACCGACGTCATTCGGCTGTGGGGTCGTCGTCGTCGTCACTGCGGCTTCGTCACTAAGACGACGTCACTGCGGCGACGTTACTGCGGCGGCGTCACTGCGGCGACGTCACTATGGGGATATCACTATGGTGACATCACTATGGCCCGTGTCACTGGAGGCTGGGTTGGGGTAATTCAGTAAAAGCAATACTTATTAGTCACATTTTCAAATTTTTTTAAAAAAGGTCACTTTTTTGCCCATTACCATTTTTTAACTAATATTGAGGTCAATACTTATTAGTCACCTTTTTGTAGTTGGTCCTTTGAGGACTTTTATGCTCCAGAGAATGCAACCCCTTGGTCCTCCTTACGTATTGGATATTTTTGCTATACAAATAGAGAGAGATCCTGCCCAAAATTTCTAAATGATATCAAGCTGCTAATTTTGACTAATCCTTAAAAATGCACTCATTTCAGTAAACCTAATCTCCCCAATATCTGCATGCTATATATACCCATAATATATTCTATTTGAAAGTTTATTATTTGTGCAAGATAAGATTAATGTGTTTAAATATGCAGTTAGAACGTTTTCATTGAGGGTATATAAATCACCCAGATTAATATTTTTAAGTCGACCATTAGGAGAAAAGTTGAAAACGTGGTTAAATAACTAAACACCTCAATCGAATAGAAATCTAGTACAGAGTATGTTAAATGATACTCCCTCCATCCCAAAGTAAGAATTCCGTTTCAATTTAAGATAATTTGACCATAAAGTTAATCACTCGATCAGTTTATTTTTAGTAAGTAAAATTTAATTACATTAAAAGTTTTGTAAAAGTGTAAAAAATACTCAAGTTTGATAAAAGTTAGATACATAAAGCCAAAAACTAAAAACAATTTAAGTTGACTAGATAAACAGTTGAGGAAAAGTTGCTATGGGACGGAGGTAATACCATATTTTGCACAATGCACATGCTAACGTAATCCTTGATTGGAAGAGAATTGAAAAACGTGTTTTTAAACTCGGTCATAATCGTAACTTTATTTACGGAGTATAATAATGCTCATGTTGTTGCGGCTCCAAATTAAGTGTGAAGATTCTAAAGCAACAATAAAGCTTATACTCTTATAATTTATGAAGTCATAGACACAAGAAAGTCTAAAATATATGAGTACTAATCGAGCGAGTCGAGTTCGAGTTCAGCTTAGATCGAGTAGGGCTTGATAAAGAAAGATCGAGTTCAGCTTAGATCGAGTTGGGCTTGATAAAGAAAGATTGAATTTGAGTTTTAGTCGAGTAAAAAGAATTATGGTTTGGTTCGAACTGAGTTTGAGTTGTATTCAATTTTTATCTATTCTAAAAAATGTTATATTTTGAAAAAACTGTCAATTAGGTCCACATATTTTTAACAAAAAATCAATTGAGTCCATGTACTTCTTTTGGAGTCAATCAAGACCATGAACTATCAAAAAACGACCAAATCAACTATTTAATAGATTGTCAATCTATTGTCCGGTTAGATTTTTAAACAAAAAGTTAGATTTGTGTGTGTGTGTGTGTGTGTATGGTCAAACACACATGTGCAATCATCAATGATGTTTTTTTTGAATATAAAGGATCGATTTTTATAATAAAACCGAGAAAAGATACAAGATACAATGATTTTTAAAACATACGGAGTATATAAAAACACTGTTTTAAAATTTGTCGCCTAATTGTCGTCTATGATTTATTTGAACCTAAAGTGAGCCAAGTTCATTTAGTCCTACTTAAATTCTCTTGAGCATTGCCTCAGAGTGTATAATATTTATAATATGAAAGTTTTTTAGCATCTTATTCATTACGTCTAGTTTACTCATACCAAATTTCAACTAAAACTTCTATCGGGAAGGCATTCAAATGAATTCTTGAAGATAATTGCGCTTTTAACTTCCTATTTTCTTCAAGAATTCATTTGAATGCCTTCTCCATAAGTCTTACTGATATATCGATCTTTAATCCTTTAATTCAGCATAAAACCATAACTCGATCGTTTTCTTTATCGAGGATGTC